CTTGTTTGGTCTATGAGCATCTGCAGCCAGGAAGTATGGGCGGTGGGGGGTTATTGCCCCCGTCCCTAGTCCTGCAGGGCACAGCTCTGGGCGGCATTCTGTGCTATTCTTCAGAGTCCTGGAGGAAGGAGTTCCTGCCGTTTACAGAGGTGACCTCAACAGCACTCTTGTATTGGCTTTCTTTTTTTCTGAGATGGAGTCTCACACTGTCGCCCAGGCTGGAGTGCAGTGAGGTGATCTCGGCTCACTGCAACCTCCACCTCCTGGGTTCAAGCCATTTTTCTGCCTTGGCCTCCTGAGTAGCTGGGACTACACACCACCACACCCAGCTAATTTTTGTATTTTTAGTAGAGACAGGGTTTCACCATGTTGGCCAGGCTGGTATCGAACTCCTAATATCAAGTGATCCACCAACCTCAGCCTCCCAAAGTGCTGCGATTACAGGTGTGAGGCACAGTGCCTGGCCTGTATTGGCTTTCTTCTGTCACTATGTCGCCCTCTTATTCTTTCATTATTGCTCCCTGGGGTTGCCTCCCAGATAGGACAACCCTACTACATGTCCTTGTCTCAGGCTCTGCCTTGGGGAGAACCTGGCAGGCTAAGACACCTATTTTTCAGGGGATCTCCAGGAGGAACACAGAAATAAAGTGGGGATATGGTTTCCAGCTGCCAGGCCAGTTCTGAGGCCTGCATAGTATCCTCCTGGGTACTAAGCAGGGGATGAAATGCCTGCAGCCTGATCTTACCTTTCTCTTCCATTTGGAGTGGGAGGAGGCAGAGAGGACTCGACACTGACCTGAGTCCCTGGAGCTGGCTGAGTGGGGTCAGGAGGTGGCCCACGGCCGGCCACTTTGAAGTTACACAAAGCAGGGGTATGGATGGAGCAAGGCAGCACTCTGGCCTAGACGAGCACGGGAACGGCTAACATCCCAGACCCTGCGCAGCCCTGGAGCCAGGGTGATCCACCTCACTCCCACTCCCTCTTTCGGTTTCAACTTTCCTTGTGGTTTCTCAGTCTGATCCGCTACGTCACCCAGAGTATGAGTTTCCTGTGGCTGCTGGAACCACGGTCTGCAAGTGGGTGGCCTCAAGCACGGAGACGCCTGGTCTCACAGCTCGGCAGGCTGGAGTTTGAGATTAAGGTGGCGGCAGGGCTGTGCCTCCTCTGAAACCTGCAGTGCGGCGTGCTCCCTTGCCCCCTCCTATCTTCTGGTCTTTTCTGGTCATCGGTGGCATTCCCCAGCTCCAGAAGGACACATGTATAATGTATCATTCCAATCTCTGCCTCCATTGCCCTATGGCTGTCTTCTCTCTTTGTCCAAATTTCCCTCTTTGGCTGAGGACACTGATCAACTTAAGGCCCCGTCTTCACTTGATTGCATCTGCAGCAACCCTGTTTTCAAATATGGTCCCATTCATAGGTACCGGCGTTTAAGAGTCTGACATATCTTTTTGGGGAACATAATTCAGCCCATAACACCCAGTGTGTTCCTGGTGCATTGACACCTGGGCTGCGCTGGGCTGTCCCAATCTGTTTGCCCTGTTTCACCCAGCCCAGGTGCTCAAGATAGTGGCACTGCAGGGTGGACAGAGGTGGACACAGAAGAGAGATGGGGAGTACATGGGACAGGTAGGGCATGGATGTTGGGGAGAGCGCAGGGAGTGAGAATAAAAGTCAGGATGCCTTGCCTCAGGATTTATGTCTGATTAATTGTTTGAAAGTGCTACCAGCATTGAAGTGGAGCAGACGGGTTTGGTGACAAGTCATAAGACCCAGGTTCCTCCCTAGGCAGGTGGAACCCTCATATCACAGTAAGTGTTTCGGCCTTCAGGATGGTGTCCAGCTGTTTGGGGAAGGTTCTCCCATAAGCCTCTTGAAACCTTCTTAGAAATAGAGTGGCCCACCACCCTGGCTTTCCAGGATTTTCCTGGTTTCAGCACTGAAAGACCCTCATTCCAGGAATCCACTCAGTCTTGGGCAAACCAGTCCTTTTGGTCACTCCTGTGGGGAACTCAGGGAGCTCTGGCAGGGCAGTGATAGGAAAAGCATCGGGTCAGTAAGAATCCCACCCTGATTACTGAGGAATGTGCATGCAGCAGCCTGTGTTCCCAGGAGAGACGGGTTGTTAAGGGGAAGTGGGGTCGGGGGTGCAGGGAGGACTCAAGGCCAGGGAGCAAGGGTACACCCCCTTCCCTCTCTCTTAGGCAAAAGGCAGCCTGGTCTCATCGATCTGAGCTGCTGCTGATTTCTCAGTCTCAGGCACTCCCGCCTGGTCTCTGCATGTGTGAACTGGCGGCCAGCCCTCCATCTACCCTCAGTGCCCCTCTTTCTACCAGGCTTTCCCGGGCAGGGGCCTTGCCTGGGGGAGGGAAGGTGGGTTTTCTCTTTCTGAATCCTAATTTCTCCTTTGTTCTCAGACCCATAGTCTCTAAAGTACCCTCTGGGTGATGGGGCCAATATTATGGGGTAGTGGACCTTTTGGGTCTGAAGAAGCAGCCCAGACCCTGGAGGCCACCTCAATCCCTGAGTAGCTCCAGGCCCATCATCGCTGGAGAGCCCAAATAGAACCCAGTGTGAGCGTGTGTGAGTGCTGGGATGGGGTGTGCTGGGGGAAGGGCGCTGAGGACAATGGCTTTATTAAGATGCTCCCACAAAATGGAGATCTTCCAAGGCTAATGTTAATTGCAACCTGCAAATGCAAACATTTCTGGGATGATGAGAAGCCCTGCAGGAGGGGAAGCTGAGGACCTTGTCAGTGGAGCGCAGCCAGGGAGTTGTGGCGGAGCTGCCTGGCCCCCAGCAGGGCCATCCCTTTGCCCATTTTATCCCAGAAGTGCCGGGGCCCCGAGCAGACCTCTGAGTGTGGGGTGGCCCCACAGCTGCCCTCTCAAAACCCTAGGTTTGTCTTAAGTTTTCCCATTATCTTCCAGAAGATTTTCCTTGTACTGTTTAAGCTGGGGATATGGTTTAGGTTTGGGTTATCATACACCTGAACAGATTCCCGGGGAGACTGGGGAACAGCATGTGTAATGGGAATAAATGAGGTGGGACAACAGCCCACTTCCTTCTCCCTCCTTCTCTCCTTTCTTTCTTCCCTCTTTCTTCCTCCTTCCTTCTTCCCTCCCTCTTTCTATCTTCCTTCTCTCCCTCCCTCCCTCCCTCCCTCTCTCTCTCTCTCTCTCTCTCTCTCTCTTTCTTTCTTTCTTTCCTTTCTTGTTTTCTGAGACAGGGTCTGGGTCCGTCAACCAGGCTGGAGTACAGTGGTACAATCATAACTCACGGCAGCCTCAACCTCCCAGGCTCAAGTGATCCTCCCATCTCAGACCCTGGGTAGCTGGACTACAGGTGAGCAACACCATGGCTGGCCAATTTTGTTTATTTTTTTGTGGCGATAGAGTCTTACTTTGTTGCCCAGCTGGTCTCAAACTCCTGGGCTCAAGAGATCCTCCCGCCTTGCCTCCCAGAGTGCTGGGATTACAGTCATGAGCCATGGCACTTGGCTGCTCCTTTTCTTAAGAGCCTAATCTGTGCTTTCACTCAAGAAGCACTTATAGAGCATCTTCTCTGTTCCAGAAACAGATCTAGTCATTTGGGATGTATCAGCAAACAGAATCGACAACCATTGCTGCCCTCGTGGGGCTTACATTCTAATGTGCAGCTCAACCTAACAATGATCATAACAACTTAGGAGGCCATGTGGTACATTAGAAGGCTACAGTGATATTGAAAAAAAAGTAGAGCAGAGAGTAAAAGGAATAGGATGATGGGGAAGGGAAAAAATGGGGAGTAGGTTGCAGAGTTAATAATGTAGTTGGGGAGGACTCCCTGGGGAGGTGAGATTGGAGCAGAGCCTTGGAGGAGGTGAGCCATGGTTCCCCGTACAAGCCCTGTGGCTGGCCCCTCTCTGGCTTGCACCAGGTAAATCACGCTTCCTGTTTCTCAGGTACCAAGCCCTCCTCATTCAGGACCTCCTGCGAGAGGAACTCAGGAAAAGCTTCCCTACAGGGAGATGAGCCTGTGACCTGTCCACCTTGGTTTGAGACCTCAGATGGAGACAGTCCTCTAAGGCGTTCCAGAATGGGTTCTTGAGGTTTTTGGAAGCCACTCGCTCTTCCTGGCTCAGGGGGCTTTGCCTTCATGCCCTGGCATGGTCTCCTTCCCCTCCATTTCCCCTACCTCCCTGCTGCCGACCGATATATGAGGACATCCAGTAATAAGTGCATTGAGACTTACGAGTTCATGCAAACACATTCAAATAGCTGCAGTGACAAGGAAGCGGCCACAATCCTTTAGTGTGCGATCTCTGCCTGTGCGATCTCTGCCCCAGTGGCCTGCTCCAGCTTAGCTGCTTTGAACAAACCTTTATGCAGAAAGGAGGTGGGGAGGGCAGGAGCGGGGAGAGGCTCAGGATGGGGCACAAGCTGCAGAGGTCAAACTCACAGCCAGCGGGGTTCTGTGTCCCCACTGCTGCTCCATGCTGGGGATGATGGCAAGGCCTCGGAGCCTGATGTCTCTCCTGGGAATGAGGGTTCTTGATGAGGTTGGGGGGCGGTTACATGGCTCCTAGTCTTACTGGAAGGCATCCAGGTCTCAATCTGGCCAGCAGCCAGGAGGCTTCTTTCCTCCTGGGAAGGGCCATCCTAGTCCTGGGGCTAATTTCCCAGGCAGAATGGGACAGAGTGAGAATCCACTCAGTGCGGGGGAATAGATGACGCTTTTCACTTTACTCAAGATCACACAGACAGTGGGGAGTGGGGCTGGGATGTGAACCCAGGTTTCTCTAAATGAGGAGCTTGCCCATGTAACCAAAGCCTCCTGTTACTTCCAACCACCATCTGGGGCGTGGCATCTGTTGTACCCCAGCTGTCTGAAACATGGCTGGGGACCTCCCTGTTACCCACGCCTGCACAGGGTGGGATCTGTGATGTCACAGCCATCTGTCATACATGGGCAGCTTCCCTCTTCCGGAATCCTTCTCTACTCCCCATTCTCCTGCATCAGGAATCCCCTGCCCACCCCCAGGGCTCTCTGTCCACCGCCTGCCGCGCATGCTGGGCTCTGTGCACACAGGGGAATTGCCCTTTTCCCTCCCCTTCCCCTTTTCTGCTTTAGGCCCCACTTCAGCCCTTCTTATGAACCAGGGAAAGAAGTAGCCTCTCCTGGTAGGAAACATAATAAGATCTATGGTATTTAATAAGATCATCCAAGACTCGGCGCTGTGGCAGTTTTCCAGTGACATTCGTTCTTTTGGGAGGTAAATTTCCTTCTCCTTAATCCGATGTTTCTTAAGCAGGTGACCCACTCTGTGTTATTACAGGCAGGTGATTATTTCCATAAATCCTTCTGCCTCTGCTTCTTCCATTTACATTAAATATAGTCTCTGTTATGGCGCCTAAATTAGCTTTCATACACGGAAATCTCTGTATAATTTAAAGGGGATGAGGACGTCGAGTCAGGCTGGGGAAGGGGAGGGCAAAGGAGGGAATGGAATGAAGGTTTTTATCCCAAATAGGGGAAGGAGCCTGCACTCGCTGCTCCGTGGGATGCTCCAAACCCCACAGAATGTGGCACCCCTGAGTCCTTTCATCTGTCCACTTTTGCATTAGGTAAATATTTGTGGAAGATCCGTAGTGCCAGGACACAGGGGTCAAAATGATGGAGATACTGTGTGATTCCTACTATCTGCTGTTCTGGACAAGGCAAAACAATGAAGATGGTTAAAAGATCAGTGGTTTCCAGAGTCTCATGTGGAGGGTGGAGGGATGGATAGGTGGAGCACAGAGTTCTTTTTAGGGGAGTGGAACTATTTTGTATGTTATGGCAATGATGGACACATGTCATTTGACATTTGTCAAACCAGTGTAACACAGTGCAAACCCTAGTGTAAAATATGGCCATTGGTTGATCATAGTGTATCAATATCGGTCCATCAATTGTAACAAGTGTTCCATACTAACGCCGGGTATAAATAGCAGGGGAAATGGTGGGGGCAGGGAGAAAGGGGATTGGGGAAATTTGTACTTTTCAATCTTTTTTTTCTTTTTCTTTTTTTTACAAACTTAAAACTGCTGTAAAAAAATAAAGTGTGTTAATTACCAAAAAAAAAAAAAAAAAAAAAAAAAAAAGACTGGAGAGAATGTGCTAGCTTGTGTCTGGCAGCCTGCTGGGGAGGCAGTAATGTACCCATCTGTTCATTTTCTCAAAGGATTTACAGCACGCTCTGCATCTGTTGTAAGTACAAGGCACTGCTCTAGGCACGAGGGACACAGTAATTGATAGGACAGTCCCTGCATTCCTGGGGCTTATATTCTAGAGGAGGGGCATTTGGTAACCACTAAACAACCAAATAAGAAAGTTAGTTGAGTTTAGGGACCGGTAAGTACCATGAAGAAATTAAGAAGTTAACGGGACGGAATGACTGTGTAGGTGGGAAGCCAGGGGCAGTGTCTGCCTTGAATACTATGTTTGCTCCCCTAAATTTCTTCTCCATATTTCTCCACTCCGTGTCCAGGGGCTGACTATAGCAGAGGGCTCCCTTGCCTTCTGAGTTCCTCTTCAGTTTGCCAGTGGGGAGCACTGGCAGGTACAGGAGGGAGGAAGAAGAGTGAAGCTGGGTTTGATTTCCTGGCTCTCATCCTGACAGATCGACAGTTTCTGGGAAGGGCGTCCCCTTCTTCCCCGCCCCTTTCAGGCCCAGGAGCACCAGGCACTGCATTCTCTCTGGTGGGCTCCCTGCACTCTGGCCTCAGCTTTGGAAGTGGTCTCCTTCTGAATTCACCTCCATTTTCCCTGTTTCACCAGCCATCCCTTTTCTGCAGGGAATCTGATCCATGGAGCCTCTCTTAGGAACACGGTCGTGCAAGGATCTGGGAAAGAACTCTGGAAATGGGGTTGCGGTGGCCGGGGAACACAAATGCAAAGGTTCCCAGGGGTATGAGCTTGATGTGCTTGTGGAACTAAAAGAAAAGCTGGCCAGGCAAGGTGAGTACAGGAGTGAGCTCTGCCAGATAGTGTCTGGTCTAGGTAGGGCCAGATCTTATAGGGCAGGCAAGCCAGGCAAAAATCCTGAGGTTTCCCATTGTGTTTTGTTTTTCTTTCTTTCTCTTGTTACTGACAGGGTCTCACTCTGTTGCCCATGCTGGAGTGCAATGGTGCAATCTTGGCTCACTGCAGCCTCCACTTCCCTGGCTTTGGTGATCCTCCCATCTCAACCTCCTGAGTAGCTGGGACTAAAGGCACACGCCACCATCGTGTCTGGTTAACTTTTGCAGTTTTTTGTAGAGATGGGGTTTCATCATGTTACCCATTCTGGTCTCCCACTCCTGGGCTCAAACAGTCTGCCCGTCTCAGCCTCTCGAAGTGCTGGGATTATAGTTGTAAGCCACGGCATCGGGCCTGGTTCTTTTTAAACTTGTGCTTCTGTAGCATTTTTAAAGGTAAAATTAACAAAAAAGGAAATGCACAGATCTTAAGTGTACGATTTGATGAGTTCTGACAACGGAAACACCCATGCAACTGAACCCCTCTCCAATCAACGTATAAACACCCCCTGTGCCTTTTCCCTGTCAATCCCACCCTTTCCAGAGGCAATCACAGCTCTGATTTCTATTACGATTGATGAGGCTTGCCTGCTCTTGAACTTGATGTAAATGGAACAGTACAGCAAGTACCATTCCTGTGTTTTTCTTTTTACTCAACACAGTATCTGTGAGACTCATGCAAGTTTGTACCTATCAGTAGTTTGATTCTTTTAATTCCTAAGTAGTATTCCATAGTATCAATATACATATATTTAATAATGTAGAGGCTGGGATGCAGTGGCTCATGCCTGTAATCCCAGTACTTTGAGAGACCGAGGTGGGTGGATCACCTGAGATGAGGAGTTCAAGACCAGCCTGGCCAACATGGTAAACCCCATCTCTACAAAAATACAAAGCTTAGCTGGGCATGATGGTGGATGCCTGTAATCCCAGCCACTTGGAAGGCTGAGGTGAAAGAATCACTTGAACCCGGGAGGTGGAGGTTGCAGTGAGATTGTGCCATTGCACTCCAGCCTGGGCGACAGAGCAAGACTGTACCAAAAAAAGAGAAAGAAAAATGTACATACATACCTATAATACACATATACGTATAATCAGTACATGTTAGTGTATATATTCTCTCTAGGTTAATATATACTAATATACTGTCTCTTCTTCTGTTGATAGATATTTGGGTTGTTTCTGGTTTGTGGCTCTTGTAAATAATGTTGCTGTGCATTTTCTTGTGCAGGTGTTTCTTATGGATATTTGCTTTCCTTTCTCTTAAGTAAATACTGCTGTGGTTTAAATGTTTGCATCCCCTCCAAATTCACATGTTGAAACCTAACTCCTGAGGTAATAGTATGAGGAAGTAGGGCCTATGGGAGATGATTAAATAATTAAGGTGCCCTCATGTTACCTATTCCCTTATGAAAGAGGCCCAAGAGAGACCCATGTGAGGAGACAGCAAGATGGTGCTGTCTGTGGTCAAGAAGCCAGGGACACAATCTGCCAGTGCCGTGATCTTGGACTCCCAACCCTCCAGAATTGTGAGAAATAAATTTCTGTTGTTTATAAGCTACACAGTTTATGGTATTTTGGTATTTCTACACACTCAAATGGACTAAGACAATACCTGGAAGTGCAATTGCTGGGCCATAGGATAGGTAGAAGTTTAGCAGTTTTCCAAAGTGATTGTATCACTTCACTCTCCACCAGCAATGGATGGAGGTCCATTTGGTCCACATTCTTGCCAACACTTGTTAGTCCTTTTGATTTTAGACATTCTAGTGAATGTGTGGTCATAACTCATTGTGGTTTTAATTTATGCTTCTCTGATGTTGAGAAATCAGACTTGTATAATTTACTGTGATGTTGAGAATCTTTTCCTATGCTTCTCATTTTTATATCTTCTTTTGTGAAGTGTGTATTTCAACCTTTTGTTTATATTTTATTTTTTATTTCTTTTACTGAGTGTATTGTTCTCTGTATTTCATAGATAGGTCTTCTGATATACATACATACATACATACATACATACATACATATGTGTGTGTATATATATATATATATATCTCAAATATTTTCTCCCTGTATTTTGTCTTTTCATATATATATATTTAAGATGGAGTCTTGCTCTGTTGTCCAGGCTGGAGTGGAGAGGCATGATCTCGGCTCACTGCAACCTTTGCCTCCTGGGCTCAAGCGATTCTCATACCTCAGCCTCCCAAGTAGCTGGGACTACAAGTGTGCGTCACCATGCCTGGTTAATTTTTGTAGTTTTGGTAAAAACAAGGTTTTGCATATGAATCAGGCTGTTCTTGAACTCCTTGCCTCAAGCAATCCACCCACCTCAGCCTCCCAAAGTGCTGAGATTACAGGCATCTGCCATGGTGCCTGGCCTGTCTTTTCATATTCTTAATGGTGTCCTCTGATGAGCATTTTTTTTAAATTTTGTTAAAGTTAATTTTAAAAACAGCTGACGCTTTTTGTGTCCTTTCTAAGAGATCTTTGCTTATCCCAAGTCCACAAAGCTATTCTCCCATACATTTTCTCAAGAAGCTTTAATAGTTGTATCAGTCGGTTCTCACACTGGTCTAAGGACATATCTGAGACTGGTTACTTTATAAAGGAAAGAGGTTTAATTGACTCACAGTTCTGCAGGGCTGGGGAGGCCTTGGGAAACTTACAATCATGACAGAAGGGGAAGCAAACATGTCCTTCTTCACATGACAGCAGCAAGGAGAAGTGCAAAGCGACATGGGGAAAACCATTTATAAACCATCAGATCTTGTGAGAATTCCATTATCATGAAAACAGCATGGAGGTAACTGCCTCCATGATTCAATGACCTCCTACCAGGTCCCTCCCACACACAACACATGAGGATTATGGAAACTACAATTCAAGATGAGATTTGGGTGAGGACACAGACAACCATATTAACAGTTTTATCTTCTATGTTAAGGTCTATAATTCTTCTCAAACTAATTTTACTGGTGGTGTCAGGTAGGGGTTAAAAACTTTATTTTTTTCTATATGAATACCAAGTCCTTCCAGCACCGTTGAAGATATTTTTTCCTTAAATTGTCTTGGTGCCTCTAAAAAGTCAATTGACATGTGTGTCTGTTTCTGGACTCACTATTCTGTGTCATCGATTTGTTTGTCTCTCCTTACACCAATAACATACTGTCTTGCAGTTTATAGCAAGCCTTAAAATCAGGTAGTATGAGTCCTCCAACTTCCTCCTTTTTTTCAAATTGTTTTGGCTATTCTAAGTCCTTTGTATTTTCATACAGATTTTCTCTTATTTTGAAAAAACTGTATGCAGCACTATTCTCTGTTTATTTTCAGCACCAACAAGGGGAGAACGTGCCTTAAAAGTAGCTCTGTCCAGGGCTTGCCCAATGGCTGCTGTGAGGTTTCCTATCAGTCCATGCAGTCATCTTCCTCATTGGTGCAGTTAATGAGGCTTTCCACTCTCCTAGTGAAGGGCTCCTGAACTCTAGTTCACAAGTTTATTTTGTGCAGAGAAGAGGAATGAATTAGATATATTGATTGTTCTTCATTTAAAGCATAACTTGATTAAAATAAAAAACAATGGGAGGGGGAGAAGGGCCAATAGAGAATACAATGTGCTGACCTAGAGACTTCACAGTTCAGTCGGAGTTAAGACTCATTAAAAGCCAACTGATACATTTTAGAATCACATTGTTTTCTACAAAATGCCTGCTGGGATTGTGACAGGGATGTTGAATCTATGGGTCAATCTGGGGAGGCATTACATCTTAAAATGCAGTCTTCAATGCATGAACATAATATATTGCTTCATTTATTTAGGTCTTCTTTAATTTTTTTCAGTTGTGTTTGTAATTATCAATGCAGAGGTCTTGCAAATGTTTTGCTAGATTTATTACTACATATTTTACATTTTTGGATTTATTGCTATTTTATTTTCTAACTGTTTGCTGATAATATATAAAAAACAATTAATATTGGCCTTTGTCTTTCAGTTTGGTTAAATTAACTTTTTAGTTCTAGTAGATCTTTTTCTTTGGTAGATTAGCTTTTTAAAAATGTAACCTATCATATCATGTGTGAAAAAGAGAGTTCACTTCTCTTCCAATAAGTACACTTTTAATTTCTTTCCCTCATTGCTCTGGTTAGAATTCCAGTACAGTTTTAAGTAGAAATGATAAGGACAGAAATCTTTGCATTTTCCCCGATCTTAGGAGAAAAGTCTTTCACCATTAAGTATGATATTAACTATCACTTTGTTGTACATGCCCTTTATTTGATTGAATAACTTATCCTTCCATTCTTAGTTTGCCTTTTCTGAATCTTTTGAGATCTGTGCTTATTCTGCTTTAATTCATTAATATACTGAATTACATTCCTTGGAAATTGTAGTGTTGAGCCAACCTTGCATTCCTGGGATAAACTCTACTTGGTTGAGTTTATACATTCATATGTTTGAAATGTGCTATACATTTTATATATTGCTGGATTTGATTTGCTAGTTTTGTTAAGAGTTTTTTTTTAAACTATGCTTATAAGGGATATTGGTCTGTAATATTATTTTCCAGGTTTTTGGTACAGAACACCATAAAATTAATTGTGAGTATTCCCTTACCTTCTATTTTCTGAAAAAGCTTTATGTCAGTTTGATGTATTACTTCTTTCTAAAGTGTTTAATGCCATTACCTGGGCCTGGCATTTTCTTTGCTGGAAGACTTTTGTTTAAATTAGGGTTTGAATTATTTCAATAGGTATATAGCTATTCTCATTTTCTGTTTTTTCTTTTTCTTGGGTCAGTTTTGGTAAATTGTGCTTCCCAAAGGACTTGTTCTTTTTACATAAATTGATAAATATTTGGCATAATGTTGTTGTTTTATTATCCTTTGAGTTTTTGAAGAATTTGTCCCTTCTTTCACTCATTATACTCATAAATTATGCTTTCTT